ATGACGATATAAGCTTATAATATCCCGGTCAGAAATAAAATAGTTTATTTTGTAAAAAAGAAGGCTGAAAAGTCGCCCTTTCCTGAACTTTGAAGAGCCGTAACTTTGTAAATAAGAAAGAGCGCCGCTTTTTTCTTTTGGATTCGTAATCTACCACTCAAAATTCTTTACAAAATCGCAGGATGCTCTCAAAACAAAAATTTACCAAAGTTTCTTCCATGAAAAGTACGCGAAATCTTCACAACCATCGAACTGCAATATTAAAGACTTTATGCGTTGTGAACCTCCAAAAAGTGATAGAGATATAGATACAGCTTTCTTCGATGCAATGGAAATCCTGAATCTTGATGAAAAGGTAGATCTGAGCATTTTCAAATACATCGTGAAACAAAAAGATAGCCTGATCTATGAATTGAGAGAAACTATAAAAATTCTGAATGACCAAATGAACTCAATCAAATCACAAAAAGTTGAACAGAATAAAAAACTGATTCCGAGCGATGAAACAAGAAACGTCTATACAAAAAAACCTACGTCAAGGTACCGATAACGTTCCCAGTTGCTCGGAATCTTCTCCGAGTGCAAGAATTACGCGACAACAAGTATCAAAGTCTGTGATGGAGGCAAACACGAAGCAGAAGTGCAATGAGTACAAAAATTTTGTAAATGATAATGAAAATACCAGTACGGAACAGGAACCAGCTGAGACATTGCCTAAACCATCATTCCTCAATTAAAATTGGAATCTTGTGATAAATGAACGTCCATAGAGACCAAAAGTAATGGAAACAAATAGCACACTCACACTGAATGGTACAGAAGTACGAGAAGTTCCCAGATCCGTGAAGTGTATATCGCGTATATGCATATCGCGTTGATCCGACGTTAACTGTAACGGACCTAACCCAACTAATAAAAGGCCATTTTCCAGAAGCACAATGCGAGGCACTGAACTCAAAACATCCGGAACGTTATGCTTCCTTCAAAGATACTATCCACGAAGAAAACATCGAAGCAGCCCTGGACTCCAACATGGGCTCCCCTTGGAGCCCATGTTTAGAAGTTTATGGACCTAACTAGAAATTTCGAAGGAGTTTGACATGGAAGGGAAGAACTCCTACCAGTAATGATGCCCTTAGAACCTATATTTCATTTGAACATACAATGTTTGTCTAATAAGGTAGGCGAATTAATGCTATATCTTGAAGAATATAAATTTTCTGTAGTCTGATTATCTGAGCACTGGCAAACCCAGGAAAACATTAACCTCAATAATTATTCACTCTCATCTCATTTCTGTAGGCAACACGCAATTCACGGTGGTGTGTCCATATATGTGAAAACAGGAATTAAATTCAAAAATGTAGACGTAAAGTCATTTTGTGATGAAGTAAATGCGGATTTCTGTGGTATTGAGTTGCCCAGCACTGGAATTATTATAATTACCGTGTACAGGTCCTGTTTGGGCAATTTTCAAAATGTTCTTCAAAGACTGGAAGAATTACTCATATCCATTATAACAAAATATAATAGTGTTATGATATTGGAAGAGTTCAATGTTCACTTTGAATCCAAAACATCTGATGTAAATGAACTCACTCATCTTATGTCATCATTTGGATTAAATATATTATTCTCAGATATAACAAGAATTATTCCTGGAAGCAAGGGATAATATTATCACGAATCTAGAAGACATATCGTATAACTGTGGAATAGTTGAGCCATGTTTGTCGCATCAAAAAGGTCTATTCATAAATATCAAAAATAATACCACCTCTTATTCACATTTCCTGCAGAAAAGAGTGATTACCCCTGCTGGCATAAAAAATGAGATTCATCTTGGAAAATACCGACTGGAATCTGGTGATTCCAGTCGGTATTTAGTGATATCGATAGTGATATCGATACGGAGATGAACCGCTCAGCAGAGTTCATAACTCACGCTCAAAAGTGGTATCGAAACATCATTTCCATTGAAATGGGTGCCTCCAGAGAATAAGCCCCCATACAGTAATTTGGTTCAATACTGATTAGAAAAATATGCGTAAAACTTTAGAGGGTGTTAAAACAGTTTGTGATGTTACCAAAGACAAAAATGATTATTCAGTCTACAAAAATTTGAAAAATCAGTATAAATGTGCCATTGAAAGAGCAAAAAGGGAATCTTATGATAATTACATAAATATCTCCACCGATAAAATGAGGGATATGTGGAAAATAGTAAATTACGAAATAAATCGTCTGAATAATAATAAAATTGGCACTACCTTACAAGCCCATGATTTGAACAGTTTTTTTTTTGGTAACATAACGGAAACAATTATAAGATTCTTGCCCATGACAAATATTCATTTTTCAGAATTATTTGTAAATATACCCACGACACAGAGTTCCTTTTTTCTAGAACCTGTTATTGAAGAAGAAGTACTTGCGGCGGTGAAATCTTTGGAGGACACCAGTGCCACAGATATCTTTGAAATAAATACGAATATATTAAAAAATACCATAGATTTGATAGTGGTCATATTGACGAATCTATTTAATAACTGCATTAGTGCAGGTGTTTTTCCAGAAATTTTCAAACATATTAAAGTTATCCCAATACACAAAACTGGTGATTTTGATCTTCCAGATAATTTCAGACATATTTCTCTCATTTCTTTCTTAGGAAAAATATTCGAGATAATTTTGAAAATTACATTATCATCGAAAAGTGAATTAATACGTTCTTCAGACANGTTAATAACAATTGCAATTTTTTACCTGCACCAAAATCCTTCAAAAATATTTTTCTAGAGGTGATTCCGAATCGAATGAGCTATCGCTCATATTTTTAGGATATTTATCTCCATTTTTCAAGTTTTTAAACTTGTTTATTATACTAACCCGCAATTTATCGGATTTCCACTATCGCAAACTGACTTTCGCAACTTCCTTTCGCGACTCTCCCAAATTAACTCTCGATGGCAAAAAAAATCTTTTCGCCACTGCTGCTGACCCATTATTTCTTCCATTGATGCTCCAAATAGCAAAATTGCCCAAATAGTCACTAAAATTCCCATATAATCATGAAAATGAATTCTATATCACCGATTCTTTCGATTTTTCCAATTTTATAAATGAAAAATCATTACCTCCAGGTTATATTCTGATCAGCCTAGATGTGATTTCACTTTTCAGCAATATATCTATGAAACTAGTGGAGAAAAGTATTATCAAAAAATGGAATGATATGAATAAAAAATGTTCATTAACCCAAAAAAAAATTATTGAAATGATTGATTTCGTCTTCAACTCAAGTTATTTCTCTTTCGAAGGTAAATACTATAAACAAATTGTTGGTACACCAATGGAAGCTACTATTTCTCCTATTATAGCTCAATACGTAGTGGAAGATATTTTTGAAAGCATAATTCCTAAACTGAGTTTTGAAATTCATTTTTTAAAGAAATACGTTGACGATGTCATTTGTGCAATACCTTATGACAAATCTCATGAAATTCTTGATGTTGTCAATAGATATAATGAAAAATTGCAATTAAGTTTTTAAATGTCAAAGTCAATGCATTCCATACGCACCTCAATATTTAAAATGTCAGTGCTGAAAAAAATTACGTCATTTTCATACTTTCACAGGCTATATTTCAAAAACTAATCGAGTCCGACTGAAAAATTTTTTCAGAATTCCTACCATCATGTAGTATCATCCCAGAAAAAAATGCAAAAATCCGTGACTATCACACAAAGTGGGTACAATTTTCCCAAAAATGTGACATTTTTTAATTTACCTTCGAAAAAAAAATTCAATGATCTAGGTACAATATACTACATCGGTATTTTCCTCCATTTTTATTCAGTAAGATCTAGTGATATTTTGTCAACATTCTGTGAATATCTTTCTCTATTTTCAATCTTCAATCAAACTTCATGTTTCAGTAACCTTGACAGACAGTTTTGACAGTTTTGACAACCTCAAAACGATTTAGAATTCTGAGAGACAATTTTCTATTTTTGATTCCGAGGTAGTATAAAGGACTAAACGATTTTCAATAAAATTTATTCAAAATTCATTTCAGTTCAACCATGCCACCTAAGAAACGTAGAAGGGATACTACCCCCGAAAAAGAAAATGCAATTTATAATTTTCTGGCAAATTTAGAGTTGACAAGAATTTGTCCCGAAAAGTTTTTTGAAATTATCTTTATTGCAGAAGCAGATGAAGAAACAAACGAAATAATGAGGGAAATCATCAATGCCTCTATAATATATGAAGAAATATCGTGTGCAACTTTCATAACTCACGATGAAGTAATAAATATGTTGGAAAACTTTTCTGAATCTGCTGTTCCCATGATAGTTAAACTCTATTTGGAAGATATTATACAAGAAACTAAACAAGAGTTTATTAAGAATCAAAATTTGCAATTGAATAAACTAGCTCAACTAATAAAATTGAAACTGTTCGAAGTAATGTATCAGCATTACGAGAAAAAAATTAATAGAATGGAAAGGAGGAAATGTTTGGAAAATGAGCTTCAAAATCTTTCTATCTACACGAAAAAAAGTGAAGGTTTAAAAAAAACTGATGTGAAAGATGAAGTCAAAAAACCCATGTCTCCATCAATTAATGTAGATACAAAAAGAAGTAAACCAAAAATATGTGAAAAATCGGTCATTGAAAGTACTATTTTCGAAACTATCAATTTGTCCAAGTTAGATGGTGACAATAAAATTGTTTTCGATGACGATATATCCAGTCAAAGATGGTTTTATATTTTTCATGGATTCTATGATCCATTCCTTCTGAAAGAGTTGATTTCCAATCATAAAATACCCATCAGTGCAATAATTAGGATAGAGTATACTAGTTCTTCAACAAATCATAAATGCGAAACTGGGGAAAATAAGTCAAACCATTACAAAACTTTCTGGAAAGAGGTATCAAACTATTTTGATGGCCCTGAAAGATCGAATTCATTTGAAAATAGTATCCTTATGAAGTACAATATTTCTGGAAGTAATTATGTGGAGATTTTCGAGGGACTTCTGAATATCTTGAAAAGAATTTCTGATATTAAATACAAACATTTGAATTACATACGACATATGAAAACATACAGATTTCAAAATATTAATGAAATGTTGCCTGTAGATTGTTTGAACACCTATAATAGATTGTTGAGTCATATTCCCACGGAGCTTGTTGACGAGCACGTGATTCTTAGTAGTCTTCTCGAAGAAATCGATTCTAGAAGTGTAAACATAAATGTGCTCGAAAGATTCAATATCGAAAAAGAAAAGCCTCAACAGCCAGTAAAATTCATAGAATGTACGAATCCCCTTCATTTGAATGAGCATTCGAGATCTAGTCGAAATTATAGAGACAAATTTTTCCCAAAACGTTTGACTTCCTACATCGTACATGAGAATGACATAAACCAGATTTTATTGAAGGAATATAGAAATTGCGGTGCGTTAGTAGTCGAACTATTGACTAATGTTTGGAAAAATGCATTTCCATTCAACATTCTCAAGAAAATTGAGAGAACGTTTCATGATATATGTCATAAACATGATATTGATCCTTCCACTAGAAAAAAACAAGTTGAAACCGACATAATGGAGCATTTCTTGTACCTGTGTCTATTCAGTGCTTTGATAGATACAAGTTCTTCTGAAGTTCTTTCATACAGTAATTCAGCAGAATATCTTTCAACTTATAACCGCATAGAGTTTGAAAATATGTTGAAACCAGGAATAGTTAATGATGGTTCTGAATGTGATATTTCAACAAACCTATATGACCCATCTCCCATGAAATATCTTTGGAAAGAACAACTGTCTTCGGAAATTCTATCACAAGAGCTATTGAGAGCAAAGCAAACCTACCTTTATATAGATTCCAAGTACTCTCCTGAAACTGATGACTTGTTGATACAACTGTCCGATAACCTTGGAGGATTTGGTACCAATACTAAATTTTTTGAAGAAGCAGTAGTAACTCCAGTCTGTTTGAGAGATTTCTGTAAGTATGTGCTAGTAGAACAATCCAAATGGCTGGAAGAAAACACGTCGTTGAAAAATAACAGCAAAGGTGAATTCGGAGAGAACTGCGAAGGAGTGGAGCTGATGAAAAACCTTGATTTGTATAAGGACTATAGATATCTGCTCAATTCCAAAATGATACTTGAAGAAGATATGGACAAATGCACAAAAGTAGAAGAAATGTCACCTTCTGAAAGTATTCGTGAGCAAATCCGAATCGATCCTACTAATGGTAATGGGATGAATGAACCAAGTGAATCAGTAAATAATAAACAATTTTTGGGATATGATTTAGGAACTAAATACCATTGTGTCAGAGGTGCTAGGACTACTTTCTGCAGTCACGATAATGTAAAAATCGTAGTAGAAAATACTGGAATGATCGATAATGAATCCAGATGTTCAGTGAACTTGACTTGTATGGGTAATATCCTCACGTTACATTCGAAAATATTGAGCGACTACACTTTCCACTGTACTCTGAAAAACAAAACCGTAATAACATTTATATTGCAAGATCACATGAAAAAAACTAAACCAAATATTTCACCAAGGATAGAAGTTTCTTCCGAAACCAATGAAGAACCAGGGATCGATGATACTGAAATGGGTATTTCGATTTTCAATAATGCCAACATCAAAGTCATAACCGTCAACATGGACGATTTTACTAAAAATAGTAATTATAGTACACCACATAATATAAATTCATTTGAACCGAATGTATTCAACAATTTGAAAGATGCAATTGATGGAAATTATTCAGTATATAAGGTTGGTAACAACATGAAATTCTTAAGAAGACTTGAAAACAGATCCGAAATACCTCTCAGTGGTATTCTCAGGAGATTCATAGATGAAGTCGCTCAGAAACCATCGTCTGAAGCATTCAGTAAAAGATTTGTAAACACAAATGATACAAAATCTAATTTAGCAGTGGAAAAAACAGTTGATTTTCGTATTTGTTTACCAAATGGCTTATATATAAGTTGTTATCCATCGCAAATCAATGATAATTTGGTAGAACTGAAACAGGAATATATATACCTTCCATTAGTAAACAACGAGGAATTTAGACTCTTCACGAGAGAAGGTACTGTCTTGATAAAGAAAACAGACGGCACCATTACTCTATTGAAATCCAATGGAGACATCATTACTTTTGAAAAGCCAGATAGTGAAAATGACCGCATCAGACAATCCAACCTCAAAACATGTCATTGCAAAAACATTAACGATTACCGAAAGAAAATTACCGAAATAATAAAAGACAGTACACAAAGTCGCCGTTATTCCAGTAGAAGAGCTTGTTTCCAGACCAAAAAGGGATATATCATTAGAGAAGATCTATCTCAGGTTCTTGAAAATATGCAGGTACCGTATTTAAGAAGGATGTTACTACGATTTGACGGTACCAAAACAACTCTGGAAAAAAACCATATCACTCAGAAGAAACTGTTCTACACGACCTGCGAACAAGATTTTTTGGCAGAAGAAATTTATTTCGAAAGAGAAGATGGATTACGGATCATTTTAGATAAAATGGGAACTCAAATTGTCAAATTTCCTGATGGCACTAAGATTTCCAGTACTGTATACGAGTCGAAAGAAATGATGGACGGTTACGTTTACATTTCTTTGTTATTTTCATACGAACACCTATATTATGCAACAGTCTCTTATAATCCCAATGATGACTTGAAAGTTTATTTGGATAACGATGTATGTCTCTCTCGACATGCAAATGATACATTAACGCTGAAAATAGGTACCGATGTATCAACCGAAATAAGTGACAAAAAGGTTGAATTTGACAAGCATTGTAACGTATGTGGATCAAATTATATTTGTTCATTCAATATTAGCCCCTTTATGAACAAAAAATTCGACCCAACGTCCCAATTCTTGCATGCTCAAGATAGTTACAATAAACATTTTTACTCTGATTATGAAGGCAACTGTAAAAGAAACACGAGTTTCTTGAACGGACCTCATAATGCTTTTGGTTGCAATCATTATAAAAACAATATTTACAAAAAACTATTTGTCATTAATAGAACTTCTGGAGTACAATTTTGGTCGAAAAGTATGATTGATTCGAAGAAAAGAAATGAATCTGATTCCATAATCGAAAAAATCAAAATGAAACGCAAACATCTTCATTTCATACAATTCAAAAAACATTATTCCGAAAGTTATGCGGAAAGATATTTGAATAAGACTATAACGGGAGAAAACGTATGTCTGACAAAATATAAACAAGTTCAGAAAAAAGAGCTCCTTTATACAACAATCAGGGTCATTAAAAAAGTACTAGACTCCAAAAAAGCAGATGCTCTTTTATCAAATTTTCGAAATTGTTCAATTGAAGATTTCGACATATCTTCAATTGCTCTGACGAATGCTTTCTTGAAGGACATTATAGAAAATAATGGGAATATGAGTACGGAGAAAACTGAAACTCATGATGTCACAAAGCCACCTGAGAAAGAAAAAAAATGCAAGTGTCACCAAATAAAATTAACATTTTTAGGGAAAGTTGCGCGATGGAAAGAAGAATGTGACCGTTTTCGAAAAATGATTAAAGATCCAGTTCCTGTTTATTTCGAATCACAATTTTGTCAAATTATTGAATAAAACATCCCCAACTAACAACTTAAGACCTTTATTCCCTATGCGGGAAATACCTTCAAAGAGAAATTTTATTGTAGTGTTTGTCTTGAATATCTAATGCCAATTTCAATTAACTTATATTGTCAACATTGACAAAAATTTGGTCGATTATCATCAATTACTTTTCTTCAAATTTCATATACTTCTGTGGAAGGAAAGCATGTCAAAATGTAGCTGATCTTCACTGAAAGAATGGGAGACATGAAACAACAATCAATGCAGTTTTCTCTAGATGAATTTCTAATTTTCATTCGAACACATTCGAAAACATACCATAAGTCTATTGTTTCGGTCTTATGATCGACCACAGTATTGTACTGATGTATCCGATAATGAAAATAATAGATAAAAATAAAAAATCTAGTCAAAAATGTTACTTCATCAATGGAAACCCATAATAAATTCGAATATTTGTTGAAAATTAATACATGGTTTCATTTGTGGGCGATGTTTTGTTTTCTCGGTCCTACCTTAAAATCTGATTATTCATAGAAAGGAAATTTTCGTTGGAAAAAAAATTCAAGTCATTTATAGGCATTGCTCATTCGAAAATTATATTTCACTTATAAATAATTAACACGAGAAATGTTTTTCAGGTTTTTCGGTATCGATAAGTTTTTTTCAGTAATTTTATACGGAAATGAATTTGCTACAAAAAAGTTCCTATGAGCAAATACTCCAATCAACAGTTTAAGAGTTGTAGAGCTGGAAAGGTGAATGTTAATTGAACCAAATTTTCTTGAAATTGTCAATTTGCAGTCTCACAGTAAATATCATTTACAATAGACGCTATGAGGTTATAAAATTGTTTTCTTCAATGCATATTTCTCTTCAGTGAATAAATATAAACTTCAATGTTCCAATATAAATCGTTAAAATTAAAGAAATATTTTTTTTTCTTCATTTTTAAGTTGGTGGTACCAATAATGTTTGCTCCTGAGTATTCAGAAATTGCTTTATATTCTTGTAATAAGTATTGTTTCGGTAAATTTTCGTTTTGAGGTTACCCGACGATTTTGAAAAAATGTTTGAGTGTACTTACATATTTTGATGCGTATAGGTTACGAATCCGAAAGAAAAGCGGCGCCCTCCCTTATTTACAAAGTTACGGCCCTTCAAAGTTCAGAAAAGAATACTTTTCAGCCTTCGTTTTCACAAAATGAACTATTTAAAAACACAAACATTTATTCACTAGGTCACCTTTACACCTTATCCCTCCTTCTTTGACACTTTTCACTTCAATATTGAATATTTTCCTTATAAAAAACTCAACTTAAAAACGAATGTTTCTCCTGATGACATTCTTTTATTTCTAGGTTAACGGTTGGTGTTTGCCACCGCCTACTATTTCCAATTCGTAATACACCACCAAAAACCAATTTACGATCTAGAGAATTTGAATTACTTTAGGAATATTGACTGCATCAGTCGTACAAACCATACCATCAACCTTAAAATCGTAAAATACAGAGATATGTAACCAAAAAGCAGCTCCGTACATTTTTTAATATTTTTATTGGAAAAACGTTGAATATTGAAGTGAAAAGTGTCAAAGGAGGAGGAATAAGGTGTAAAGGTGACCTACCTAGTGAATAAATGCTTGGGTTTTTATAGTTATTTATGTATCAAGGGAATTAGGAGGGCCTTAATTACCGATGGCAAATGACGATATAAGCTTATAATATCCCGGTCAGAAATAAAATAGTTTATTTTGTAAAAAAGAAGGCTGAAAAGTCGCCCTTTCCTGAACTTTGAAGGGCCGTAACTTTGTAAATAAGGGAGAGCGCCGCGTTTTTCTTTCAGATTCGTAATCTACGCATCAAAATACGTGAGTATACTCAAAATTTTTCACAAAATCGCCGGGTGCCCTCAAAACGAAAATTTACCAAAGTTTCTTCCATGAAAAGTGTGCGAAATCTTCACAATCATCGAACTGCAATATTGAAGACTTTATGTGTTGTGAACCTCCAAAAAGTGATACGGATATAGATACAGCTTTCTTCGACGCAATGGAAATCCTGAATCTTGATAAAAAGGTAGATCTGAGCATTTTCAAATACATCGTGAAACAAAAAGGTAGCCTGGTCTTTGCATTGAGGGAAACTATAAAAATCCTGAATGACCAAATAAACTCATTCAAATCACAAAAAGTTGAACAAAATAAAAAAATTATTCCGAGCGATGAAACAAAAAACGTCTATACAAAAAACGTGCATCCGATTAGACCACGACAAACCTACGTCAAGGTACCGACAACGTTCCCAGTTGCTCGGAATCTTCCCCGAGTGCAAGAATTACGCGACAACAAGTATCAAAATCTGTGATGAAGGCAAACACGAAACAGAAGTGCAATAAGTACATAAATTTAGTAAATGATAATGAAAATACCAGTACGGAACAGGAACCAGCTGAGACATTGCCTAAACCATGATTCCCCAATGAAAATTGGAATCTTGTGATAAATAAACGTCCATAGAGACCAAAAGTAATGGGAACTAATAGCACACTCACACTGAATGGTACAGAAGTACGAGGAGTTCCCAGATCCGTGAAGTTTCATGTATATCGCGTTGATCCGACGTTAACTGTAACGGACCTAACCCAACTAATGAAAGGTCATTTTCCAGAAGCGCAATGCGAGGCACTAAACTCAAAACATCCGGAACTTTATGCTTCCTTCAAAGTTACTATCTACGAAGAAAACTTCGAAGCAGCCCTGGACTCCAACATGGGCTCCCCTTGGAGCCTAATGGACCTAACTAGAAATTTCGAGGGAGTTTGACATGGGAGGGAAGAACTCCTACGAAATTTTCGACAAAATTATAATTAGTGTGAAGTTAGCCACAGTTTCCTGGCCACACTTTCTGACGTAGGGAAAATTATATGCGGGATAGAGGAGCAAACGCGGGCGGTGTTGTCAGATTTTCTACTTTTTCTGTTTCTGATGATTGAAATTCTTCCAGTGAATAAACTTAACCTACAAATCTTTCGTCTACCAGCTGTCGCACCTCTACGAACGACAATCCTCAGAAGTCGAAACTTGTGCGAGCTAAAGATTAACGAGGTCTCACTTTTAACGTGTGATTCCTAACACGGTTTGGACGATAGCAATTGAAAATAGATCGTTAAGACTAGGGCTTGAACCACCGACCAACACGGCAGTCAATTCGAGTGAGTGAACAAAGCACCTGCGTCGAACCGCCTGGCCACCGACCGACCACTGAATAACCTCTTCGATCTTCTGTTCGTAGAGAGAAGTATCCATCACTACAGTAGCGTTTCCTTTACCTGCAGGTAGGATCTTGATGGTATTGTCTCTACGTAGGCCGTTCAGAGCTCTACGTTCTTCATTGCTGATGTTAGATGTTGAAACTGTTTTTTGATCCAGCTGTTCTCTGATTTTCCATCTGAATTCTTGTGCTTCGGACTGGTCAATAAGGAAACTGGTGAATTCCACTGCAATAATCATCTCCAAAGTGGGCACATATGTTGGCGCAATGGCAAAATTCAGGCCTTTCCTCAACAAGGATTCCTCTATTCCCGTAAGTGGGCGGGAACACATGTTGATGACGTTGGCAGCTTCATAGTTGTCCTGTTTTCGGTCTGTATTTGGCCATTGTTTCCTCACTAACTTCCATCACTTTCTGTTGCGGGTATTCACCATGTCTTGGCGGATCTTCAAGCACGTGCTTTCAATCTTGGCAAAGATTGGTCCATGATCGTCTTCCAATGTCTCTCTTCTTATTTCTTCAAATCGTTCCGTGGCATCCTGCAACAAAGTTGACCTTTTCCAACGGTGATAATTGATTTGAGACCTTATCAGAGCTCGGCTGGCGCGTTCCAATATGCGTTTAGCTCTCTCTCCTGTGATTGGCCAAGAACTGATAAGGTCTCGAATCAATTATCACCGTTGGAAGAGGTCGAATTTGTTGCAGGATGCAACGAAACGATTTGAAAAAATAAGAAGAGAAACATTATAAGATGATCATGGACCAATCTTTGCCAAGATTGAAAGCACGTGCTTGAAGATCCGTCAAGACATGGAGAATACCCACAATAAAAAGTGGGGGAAGTTAGTGAGGAATCAATGCCCAAATACAGACCGAAAACATTTGTGCCCACTTTGGAGATAATTACTGCAGTGGAATCCACCAGTTCCCTTATTGACCAGACCGAGGCAGAAGAATTCAGATGGAAAATCAGAGAACAGCTGGATCGAAAACCAGTTCCAACATCTAACATCAGCAATGAAGAACGTAGAGCTCTGAACGGCCTACGTAGAAAAAACACCATCAAGATCCTACCTGCGGGTAAAGGAAACGCTACTGTGGTGATGGATGGTGTTTTCTATGAACAGAAGATCGAAGAGGTTCTTCAGAAGGGAAGATACTCAAATATCGTACGAGACCCTACTGCATCAATTAAAAGGAAGTTGTATCAGTATTTGAAAAGAAACCAAGTCTATTTTTCGGACAAGGAAAGATCATCGTTAACACCGTACCACAGTAAGCCTCCGCACTTGTGTGGACTACCCGGAATTCACAAGAAGAACGTTCCGCTCAGACCGATCATCAGTTCCAGAGATGCGGCTACTCAAAACTTGTCTAGATTTTTACTTTCCATAGTACAACTATTGCAAGGAAAAACATCGTCTTTTGTGAAGAATTGAAGACATTTTGTCATACAGAGAAAGCTATTCGAAGACGGGAACCTGAAACAGAGAACGAATCTACCTATAGAAGTAATTATGGAATTACAAGAATGATGTGTACGAAACTGTTATTTCCAACTAAACGACGAATTCTTCACACAAGATGAGGGGCTGCCAATAGGATCGCCACTTTCACTAGTCATAGCCAACATATATATGGAGTGGTTTGAAACTCTGGCCATTGAAGAAGCCCACAAGAAACCTTGTGTCTGGTTGAGATATGTTGATTACACCTTCATAATATGGAACCATGGGAATACTGAACTAGACG